AATGAGGACAATAGTATAACTAACGTTCACTATTTTTAAGTTTTTATTTATTTATTTGGTGTGCCAGGTCTTAGTTGCAGCATGCAGAAGCTTCGTTGTATCATTCAGAACCTTTTGTTGTGATGCACAGACTCTCTGGTTGTAGCACATGGGCTTAGTTGTTCTGAGGCAAGTGGGATCTTAGTTCCCGGACCAGGGATCGAACTTCTGTCCCTTGCATTACAAGTCAGATTGTTAACCACTGGACCATCAGTGAAAGTAAAAGTGTGTTCGCTCAGTCGTGTCTGACTCTGCGACCCCATGGGCTATTGCCCACCAGGCTCCTCTGTTCATGAAATTCTCCAGGCGAGAATACTGGAGTGGGTTGCCATTCCCTTCTCCAGGGGATCTTCCCAACCCAGGGATTGAACCCGTAAAGAAAGCTGAGCGCCAAAGAATTGATGCTTTTGAACTGTGGTGTTGGAGAAGATTCTTGAGAGTCCCTTGGACTGCAAGGAGAGTCAACCAGTCAATTCTAAAGGAAATCAGTCCTGAATATTCAATGGAAGGACTGATGCTGAAGCTGAAACTTCAATACTTTGGCCACCTGATCCGAAGAACTGACTCATTGGAAAAGCCCCTGATGCTGGGAAAGATTGAAGGTGGGAGGAGGAGGGGATGACAGAGGATGAGATGGTTGGATGGCATCACTGACTCAACGGACATGAATTTGAGTAAGCTCTGGGAGTTAGTGATGGACAGGGAAGCCTGGAGGGCTGCAATCCATGGGGTTGCAAAGAGTTGGACACGACTGAGCGACTGAACTGAACTGAACTGAACTCCTGCATTGCAGGCAGATTCTTTACTGTCTGAGCCACCAGAGAAGCCAGGACCACCAGGGAAGTCCCTAAATTTTACTGTTAATTCTGTGCGAAGCACTGTGCTAGGCTCCTCATATCCACGATCTCATTTAACCTCCTAACAGGCAGGTATCCTAGGAGATCCATTGTACTGAGCCCAGAGAGGGCAAGCAAGGCATTCAGCATCACATAGCTTGTGAATAGCAGAGCTAGGACTCAAACTCACGTCTGCCTAGCCCTGAGTCCCTGACTTAACCACCTCATGGTGTGCATGCTGAATGCCCAATGACAGCATTTTAGGTCTGAGCCAGGGGTGATGCCCCTGAGGTGCCCACAGATTGGCCCCTACCAGCTCCTGCAAGAAGAGCTAGGTTTGGGGGTTCCCCACGCTAGTTGTCATCACCAGCCCAGGCCTTGGGGACTGACTGCTCAGCACCCAGCACTCCTGCCAAATGATCTTGGCTGGAGCTGGGCTTGGCGGCGTCTCTGATGGAAGCTGCTCTGAGCCAAGAGCCTCTTGTCAGCCTGAAATCAGGACGAGCCCTCAATGCGGCTCCCCTCGGGGCTCTCTGTTAAATAAAGATGCCGCAGTGGTTTGCCCGAAAGGCCTCTTTGTCTGAGGCCCTTCCAGCCCACGCGTCCTCTGCCCCGAGAATGCCGGTCTCTGTCGGCATGAAGAGCCCCTGTGTTCACCGCTGCCGCTGGGGGAGCCAGGCGGCCGCTCTGCGCCCATGTGGGAGGGCGCCTGCCCTGGCCCCCTCCCTCTGCTGTCAGGGAGGTCATGCTGGCAGCCACTCTGCACACAGCCTGGGTCCCTGGGAATGCTCCCCTCCTGCCTCCTGCCCATCCCGGCCCACTAGTGCTCCCTCCCGACCCCCTCCTGCCTCCCTGCCACCAGGGGCCCTTGCGCTCTGCACATGCCTGCGTTCCATTTCTCTGTCTCTGCCTCTCAGTTTCCCTGTCCCTCTCCGTCTCTCCATCTCTCTATCTGTCTGTTTCTTTGTCTCTGCCTTTCTCTCCTTCTCTCTCTCTCTCTCTTTCCATCTCTCTCTCTTTGTCTCTGCCTCTCCCTCCATCTCTGTCTCTGTTTCCAACTTCCTCTCCTCCCCTCCATCTCTCTGTCTCTCTCTTCTTCCTCAGTTTTTCTTTCCTTCTATCCTTCTCTCCTGGGGACCAAAGCAGCACATACCATGTGTGTTAAATTAAAACTTAAACACTGTAGGGATAAGTCCCCCCAGGCTATGTCTGAGCACAGGGCTTCATTCTGCCACTTATTTTAGTTGTGGCTTCACCCCCAGGAGCCTCAGTGTCCCCACCATAAATGGAAGCAGTGATGGGTACCTCCAGGACAGTACGGGGTCTGCCCCACTAGAGGTATGCTTGTGAGGGCAGGCGCTATGTCTGGCTCATGCCTGTACCACCCGGGCATACACCAAAAGGCTCCCTGCTTGTTGGATGATTGGAGAGTCCTACAATAGTGCCTGACACGTGGTAGTTGCTCTTTGAATGTTCATTTCCTTTGTTTTTCCCTGACCGGTCTTGGGGATGTGATCTGTTAGAGACCCTTGGAAAACCGCAGGCTCTGGAAGGAGCAGCTGGGAGATGCACAGTGTGTTTTACCTGCTAAGATCAGGTCTTGTCCCCTCTTGCCCGGCTGTGGGTTTGGCATCCGGAAAGGCCTCTGTGCTCGATGCCACGCTTGAATCACTACCTGAGCAGCTCAGAGAAGAAGTAAACAATCACGTCCCTCTTCCTCAACACTATACCTCTGTCAACACAACCGAAGACCACATGTGCTTTTCTTGCCCCTCTATTATGTACTATTAGTGCTGCACACCAAAGCTTTATTCATTCATTCATTTGCACAAGTACTCACTGATTGCCAGGCTCTCTCCTAGGATCTGGGCACATAGCAGTCAACAAAACACTAAAATCTCCGCCCGCATGGAACTTCCTTTCTAGCAAGGTCTTTCCCACATGTGGGCAGGCCGCGTGGCCTCCCTGACTCTCGGTCTCCTCAGTAACACGGGAATGAGATCTGCCCTCATGAGGACCATCACGAGGTGGCCACACTCATGGAGGCCCAGCATGGTTGGCACAGGGGAGCTGCCAGGTCAGTCCACTGCACCTGAAGCAGCCCCAGTGCAGGGAGCCTGGGGAGGCACGGGCTCGAGACAGGCTCCCATCCAGCTGGCCACTGCTCCAGAGCCTCCTTATCAGCAGTTCCTCACACTCCTGTTACCCAGGGTTTCCGTCTTTCTTCCCTTGGCTCTAGCCCAGGGTTCCAGGACTGGCCCTGTCCCCCAGCCCTACTTTGACCTCATCTGTCTGTCTGTATTAAAGGATCACCCCAGTGTCTTCTCTCCATACTGAATGAGGGGCCCAGAAGCAGGGCTTTGCCTGGCCTCCCCCTACATCCCCCCACCACTCCATCGGACTGAGCCGGGTCAGCAGTGGTCCAGGTGCCCAGGCTGAAAGGTGCAGCATCCGTGCTGGTGCAGAGCAGGAAACTGACCACCTCTGACCCTCATCCCTCACTTTCCAGCAGCGGGCTCTCACCCCTCCTGGACGACAAACTCACAGCTCCCCTCACCCCTGCCTGCACAGTATCCTCCTGGGGATGCCCACCTCCTCCCGCCTGCTGGAATCCTGCACAACCCTTGGGCCAAACTCCTGCCCACTCTTCTAAGAAGCCTTTCCACACCTGTCATCTTATTCTGCTCCTCCAGACTCAGTTCAACTTGGCCTAAGCAAGGCCCTATTAGACCCTGCCACACCCAACCTCCGGCAGCTCCTAGAGCCACCATACTTGGTCCCCTGACCCTCACCTTGACCAGTCAATTCTTTTCTGTTTTTTAATTCATCATTTTATATTTTAAATATTTATGTATTTTTATTATTTATTTGGCTGCACCAGGTCTTGGTTGCAGCACGCGGCATCTAGTCCCCTGACCAGGGATCAAACCTGGGTCCCTGCATTGGGAGTGTGGAGTCTTAGGCACTGCACCGCCAGGGAAGTCCCTTGACCAGTCAGTTCTTACCTGTCTCTCAGCAATCAGCTTCAAAGAGACTTTCCTAAAACCATCTCCTCTCCTAATCTTCCCAGGTCCAGTCAGACTCTGTCATAGCACCCTACTGTCCTTGGTAGAATGACCAGATTGTCATTAAATAATTAATGGTGCAGTGAGTACTGTGTGTATCTGGTGCAGCTGGGGTGTGGCTAGAGTGGGGGACGAGGCTGGTGGAAAAAGGCCTTGGATTGTGGAGTTAAGGATTTTGGACTTATTCTGTGGGCAAGAGAGAACCCTTTCAGGGTTCATGCAGAATAATACGTTCCTAAGGACCCTGAGCGGAGAAGGCAATGGCACCCCACTCCAGCACTCTTGCCTGGAAAATCCCATGGATAGAGGAGCCTGGTAGGCTGCGGTCCATGGGGTCGCTAAGAGTCGGACACGACTGAGCAGCTTCACTTTCACTTTTCACTTTCACACATTGGAGAAGGAAGTGGCGGCCCACTCCAGTGTTCTTGCCTGGAGAATCCTAGGGACGGGGTAGCCTGGTGGGCTGCCGTCTATGGGATCACACAGAGTTGGACACGATTGAAGTGACTTAGCAGCAGCAGCAGCAAGGACCCTGAGACCTAGGGTTTAATGGCCTCCTCCCCTTTTTTTTTTCCTTTTTCATTTGGTTGGCTAGTTGTTTAGTTGGTTAACTGGCTAATTAGATGGTTGGTTGGTTGAATTGCTAGCTGGATGGTTGACAGGTTGATTGCTTTGACTGTCTTCTCTCCATCCTAAATGAGGGGCCAAGAAGCAGGGCTTTGCCTGACCTCACCCTGCACCCCCCACCATTCCACACTGGACTGGGCCGGGTTTATTGACTGTGTGGTTAGTTCACTAATGGAATGGTTGGCTAGTTGATGGGAGGGATGGATGGATAGATGAAGGGAGAGTCATTTCATTAGTTAGCTGATTAGTTAATTTCTTGGTTAGTTGTCTGGTTGGGTGGTGGGTGGGTAGCTGGTGGTACCTGTTCACTGCGTCTCCCCCAGCACAGTCCTCGAGCCTCCTCCATCACTGTTGGCCCAAGCTGACCTCGCTTTTGGTTTTCCTGCTCCCGGTGTCATCAGGCCTAATGCCCTTTCTTCCCATCTTTCCACAGGCCCTTGTCCGGCTGCCGCCCCATATTTCACAGTGTGATGAAGTCTTTCGGTTCTTTGAGGCCCGACCGGAGGATGTCAACCCCCCCAAAGAGTAAGTGGTAGCTCAAGCCTCTCCTGTGAGGCTAATGCTGAGGCCAGCCTGGAGAGGCTCCAGACATGGGGATACAGTAGAGGGAGCGCTGGCCAGGCCAATGAGGCTAAGCAGACATGGACGAAAGGAAGGAAGAGCATCGGTCTCCAGACTCCTGTGACCAGGGCTTGTTCCTCATTCCTCTGACCCCAGACCTGGCAAGGGAGGGTGTCTCTGCATCTGGGGAGCAGGTTTTCATGCAAACTCTTTCTGGTTCACAGCTTATTGTCAGGAGCAGACAAGATAACAGAAAATGTGCCATTCAGACATGGGATTAGCAGTCGTTGCTCTTATTTGTTGACACTACCAAGCACCCAACTGACATGTAGAACCAGGAGAACATGTGCTGCCCAGGCGAACCTCACCCGCAGAGTAACCCAGCGGTCCTGGGCTGTGGCAGCAGATCTTACAATCATTATCAAAAACGATGAGTGCGTGCAGAGTGTTTACCAAGTGGCTTTTACCTCTAGCATTTTACAGGGGGTTTCCCTGGTGGCCCAGCAGTAAAGAATCACCTGCAATGCAGGAGACCTGAGTTCAATCCCTGGATCGGGAAGAGCCCCTGGAGCAGGGCAGGGCAACCCACTCCAGTATTCTTGTCTGGAGAATCCCATGGACAGAGGAGCCTGGCGGGCTATGGTCTACAGAGTTGCAAAGAGGCAGATGTGACTGAGTGACATAGCATGCACACAGGATAGCCCAGTTTGCAGAGGAGGAAACTGAGGCACATTGGTTAGGTGGATTTTCTGGAAGTCATACAGCTGGTTGGGTATGGAACAGGCATGAGACTTGAACCAAAACCTTTTGATTCCTCATGGTCCAGAGATGGTCGACTTTCCATGCTGGGGAGAAATAGGGAACCAAGCAGGTCTTTTGTCCTTCTCTGGGCCAGGTGGTCAAGATGACCCACTAGGTCATGCTGGAATCTCACACACATGCCCAGACTCCATCCTCAGCCACAGCATCCCCAGGTCCACCTGGCCCTGCCACTCCCCAGTTGTGCTGGCCTCTCAGAGCCTCTTGTTCAGCTTCCTTCCACAGGGAGAGAGGAGATGTCCCTCCCCAGGTGGGTTGATCCTTGGAGTTACGCATGATCGTGTGCCCAGAGGGATTGTCACTGGTTGGGTGAAGTAGCAGGTGCATGGCCATAAAATCAGCTGACCCTGCCTTTGATTGCTGACCCCACAACCCTCTCTCTGGCAGTCAGCTAAATAAGTTGGTCTTATTTCACCTGCACACTAATGGCAATGTGTGCGTGCGTGCTCAGTTGCTTGTCGTGTCCGACTCTTTGCAACCCCATGATCTGTAGCCCTCCAGGCTCCTCTGTCCATGGGATTCTCCAGGCAAGAAAAATGGAGTGGGTTGCCACGCCCTCCTCCAGGGGATCTTCCCAACCCAGGGATCGAACCTGCATCTCCCGTAATTCCTGCATTACAGGCAGTTCTTTACCACTGAGCCACCAGGGAAACCGACTAAGGGCAATAGGTTAGCCTTTTGCCCATCCCTGGAACGCCCTCAAGGAATGGTGGAAACTAGGCTTGGGGAGACAGTTATGTGTTGGTGAGGCCGCAGGCATGGCTTTGCAGGGCAGGCTCTGGGGTCCAGACCCACCACTCAAGTCTCTGTGATCTCAGATCATTTGCCCAGCCTCTCTGTTTCTATCCCCGAAAAGCAGGAATGCTGGATTCCTGGGGCAGTCCAGGGGCTTACCGAGAGGACACGTGTACTGAGATAACCGGCCAGTGCTCCTGGCCCATTGGGTGGGAGGTTGTGGAACAGAATGGAATGTGGCTCCTTGCACACTCCACCTCTGCAGATCACAGCCTGGCTTTTGCAGGGAGGAGTCATAAAGCAATTTAGTCTCCAAGTTTCCATGGCAACAGGGGTTATCTGCCTCTTCTTGAGGTGGTACCGGCCACCTGGGCCAGTTCACTTCTCATCTGGCAAGAGAGGGCCTGAGAACAGAACCACTCCAGCACGAGACAGGTCAGGAGGGTCAGGAGGTGGGTTTGGCTGTGGCCCCAGAGTTCCAGAGGTTTTCTCCACCCTGGCCCCTCTCGGCCTCCAGGACCTGCGAAGAGAGACCTGTGTTCTGTGCAGAGTGTAGCTCAGACCCAAGGGTGACCCGCGCTGATGATCCGTCAGCCAAGTGCTCGCATCGCTCCCTTTCAGGACCATGTGCACCATCCCAGACCACCATACACCTCCCCCCTCCATCCTGAAACATAAACACGGGATCAAGTAACAGCGTATTTTGACTCTGGGGCGACTGTGGAGTGGCTTATCAAATTATCAAAGCCTGTGGATTTAATTGGAATTTTGCAGATAACCCCGGCCTCTTTCAAGTGTGCTGCTGCAGGACCTCTGAGCGCTCAGAGGGCTGGGGTGGGGGACTGTGGCCCTTTCCATCTTGTGAGGAAGACAAGATTGCAAAACAGCCCAGCTCGGTGGGGGAGGTGGGCAACGGGCCCCAGCCCCTCAGCTTTGATCCCAGGCCACTCGCTGGCTTCCGTGGGTGGAAAGTGGGGTCCACCTCTCGGCTGCCAGCCTTTGCTCTAGACCATGGGCCCCGCACAGAAAGGGTGTTCTTTATAGAGATGTTTGGTGAGCCTGGTACTGGCAGCCATGGTGGTTCTGCCTTCTTATATGGCTGCTTGAGAAGGCAATGGCACCCCACTCCAGTACTCTTGCCTGGAAAATCCCATGGACAGAGGAGCCTGGTAGGCTACAGTCCATGGGGTCACTAGGAGTTGGACATGACTGAGCAACTTCACTTTCACTTTTCACTTTCATGCGTTGGAAAAGGAAATGGCAACCCACTCCAGTATTCTTGCCTGGAGAATCCCAGGGATGGGGGAACCTGGTGGGCTGCCATCTATGGGGTTGCACAGAGTTGGACACGACTGAAGTGACTTGGCAGCAGCTAGAAGGCAAAGGTTGCTCCAGCGCCCTGCCCTCCTCTCCTCGAACTACTGGCTGATGGGTCCTTCAGCAGCGCTGAGCTTTCCGGGGGGCTCTGGCTCAGGCCCCAGACCCTGGCATTATTCTAGATTAGCACCCTGTCAATATGTCACCGCATCCTTTGGGCACCACCTTCAGCATATACCCAGACCCTGATCACATCTCACCGTCTCCCCCGCTGCTACCCTGGGGGCAGGGGTGGGGCAAGCCTCACCTCCCCTGGATCCTGGCCTGACTGTTCAACTGTTTCTGCCCTTGCCCTCCATGGTCCATTTTCAACACAGAGGATGGAATGACCACTTAAAAATGTACATCAGATCGTGTCCCTCTTCTGTCACATTCCTCCATGCCTCTGGTGTTGCTCAGAGTCAAGGCCCTTCCGCCTGCTCCCCCCTCGCCCCTGGTGGCACCTGTTGCCTCTGCCAGCTGGCTCTGCTCCAGCCACACCTCCTGCCCCTTCTTGCACCCTCCAGCCGTGTTCTGCCATAGGGGCTTCACACTGGCTCTCCCCTCTGCCTGGAACACTCAGCCCCTCCCCAGGAGAGCCCCCAGCCTGGTCCCATACTTCCTTGCAATCTTGACTCAAACAGCTGCCCAACGAGGCTGACCCTGGCCTTCCTGCGTAAAATCCCCAGCACTGGCTTCCCTCTCCTGGCTTCATCTTCCTTCAGGGAACGTATCACTGCCTCCCATGTGCCCTGCTCCCTCCTCACATTATTGTCAGTCAGTCTGGTAGAGCAGGACCGTTCTGATCACAGTATCGCCAGTACCCAGAGAAGGTGCACGGGAGATGTGCAGGACAGGTGAGTGGTGTCAGAGGCCCTGGTCACCATATCCTGAAGGAGGGGGATAAGGACACACCCCTGGAATGCAAGGGGATTCAGATCAGGGCAAGTCCTGGGTGGACTCTGACAACCAGGTGAGCCTGGCCCCATGCAGGCCACACCCCAGGACCTAAGGGGACCCATTGGGCTGTGCATGTGGCCACTCACTCCTGGGGCCACATCTGCCGGCTCAGCTGTCCCTGGCTTAGCTGTGTTTGAGCCCCCGAGACCCCTGTGCTGAGCCAGTGGGCCAGGGAGGCAGGCGTCCCCTGGCCTGGCTTCCCCAGGGAGCCTCTGGGCAGCCAGTCCCTCAGCTCTGATTCCCGTGGTGTCAGTGATGGAAACGGGAGCCCAGGCTGCCGGGCTGGACTCCCAACCCAGTCAACCACGTGACCCGGCAAAGACCTCTTTTTATTCAAGTTGCGATTCCCATCACTGAAACAGTGAACCTAAGGTTCTCAAAGGGCCATCCAGCGGCCCTGTCCTCAGACCCTGGCATGTTGCATATCCCTCAGAAAACAGGGATGGGAGGAGGGCAGCCCCATGAGACCCGAGGACCCGAGACCTGCCTCCCCATCTCTCCCACCTCCTGGCCCACGGCCCCGCCCTCATCCTTAGGTGCCCACACGGGGTGCAGCCTGCTGTCCCCAGCCCCCAAGCCCAGGCCCAGCCTCCCCCTCTGCGTAGAGCACTCCCGACCCCTCTCCCCACCCACCCACCCCAGTCCTGCTAAGTCCTCAGACATCCCAGGAAGTCCTCTTCCCACCCCCACCCCCTGCCCCCCAGCAAAAGCCTGTAGCCCTTGGCTGTGGCGCTAGCCACACCACTGTTTATGGTCTCTCCCCACCATGGGGACCCACATTCTCTGACCACTCCCCCCCCCACCCTCCGCAGGGCCTGGCCCCTGGTAAATGTTGACTGATCCCAGGTCGGGACTGATTAACAAGCTTAAAACTTGCACTGCCCACTGTCCAGGTTGCAGAGTGAACAGCACTCCCCAACCGTCTGGAGCTGGGTGGTCTGGGTTCCCTGGCCCCTCTGTGCCTCAGTTTCCTTATCTGTCCAGTGTGAATAACGACAGTGCCCGCCCCCAGGGGCCATGGGGAGGATGGTGCGTGGAAAGTGCCAGAACAGGCCTGGCTCGTGGTCAGCACCACCCAAGGCCAGGCTCGCCGT